GAACCAAACAGATTTCTAGGGCCAGAATCCCTGTTTGTATGATATTCAACTACTCGTACCTAATTAACGAAATAACTTTTAGTTCTCAAATCAATTTTAACAATCTTTTAGAGGTCCATACCACTAAATTAAATTGATAAAACTAACGCACATTGCGTCGATTTCACGTCATGACGTCATAGATCCAACACTCGATATTCGATATTCAGTATTCAACTCAATATTCAACTTAACTACTCGTAGGTTATTAACGAAATAATTATAAGTTTTCAAATCAATTTTAACAATCTTTAAGAGGTCCATACCATCAAATAAAACTGAGAAATCTAACGCACATTGCGTCGTTTGGACGTCATGACGTCATAGATTCAACCATACAGATTTTTAGGGCCTGAATCCCTGTTTATATAATGATATTCAACTACTCGTAACGAATTAACGAAATAATTTTTAGTTCTCAAATCAATTTTAGCAATCTTTAAGAGGTCCATACCACCAAATAAAACTGATAAAACTAACGCACATTGCGTCAGTTTGACGTCATGACGTCATGGATTCAACCAAACAGATTTCTAGGGCCAGAATCCCTGTTTATATAATGATATTTAACTACTCGTAGCTTATGAACGAAATAATTCTTAGTTTTCAAATCAACTTTAGCAATCTTTTAAAGGTCCATACCATCAAATAAAACTGAGAAATCTAACGCACATTGCGTCGTTTGGACGTCATGACGTCATAAATTGAACTAAACAGATTTCTAGGGCTAGAATCCCTGTTTGTATGATATTCAACTACTCGTACCTAATTAACGAAATAACTTTTAGTTCTCAAATCAATTTTAACAATCTTTTAGAGGTCCATACCACCAAATAAAATTGATACAACTAACGCACATTGCGTAGATTTTATGTCATGGCGTCATAGATCCAACACTCGATATTCGATATTCAGTATTCAACTCAATATTTAACTTAACTACTCGTAGCTAATTAACGAAATGATTTTTAGTTCTGAAATCAATTTTAACAGTCGTTTAGAGATCAATATCACTAAATAAAACTGATAAAACTAACGCACATAGCGTCGTTTGGACGTCATGACGTCATAGATTCAGCAACCAAATAGATTTCTAGGGCCAGAATCCCTGTTTATATAATGATATTCAACTACTCATACCTAATTAACGAAATAATTCTTAGTTCTCAAATCAACTTTAACAATCTTTTAGAGGCCCATACCATCAAATAAAACTGATAAAACTAACGCACATTGCGTCGTTTGGACGTCATGACGTCATGGATTCAACCATACAGATTTGTAGGGCCTGCATCCTGTTTATATAATGATATTCAACTACTCGTACCGAATTAACGAAATAACCTTTTCGTTCTCAAATCAATTTTAACAATCTTTTAGAGGTCCATACCATCAAATAAACTGATACAATTAACGCACATTGCGTCGTTTGGACGTCATGTCGTCATAGATCCAACACTCGATATTCGATATTCAGTATTCAACTCAATATTCAACTTAACTACTCGTAGCTAATTAACGAAATAATTTTAAGTTTTCGAATCAATTTTAACAGTCTTTTAAAGGTCCATACCACCAAATAAAACTGATAAAACTAACGCACATTGCGTCGTTTGGACGTCATGACGTCATAGATTCAACCATACAGATTTTTTGGGCCTGAATCCCTGTTTATATAATTATATTCAACTACTCGTACCTAATTATTTTGTCACTTTTCTACAAGGCGTCTAACGTCATTAATACACCCCGGATTCGTTTCTGGAAATCTTTAGTTTTTAATCACCGACGCCATGACATAAAAACTATATATATCTACGCAATATACATTACTTTTATCAATTCAAACTTATAGTATAGTCCACTGAAGAATTGTTAAATTGTCTTAAAAATTGTCTTGAAAATTATTTCGTTACTTTGATACGAGGCTTTTAATCCCCTTGAAAACATGTTGGAAGCGGTTCTTTACGGCATTCATAAATCAATGACGTCATGGCGCCAACAAGACGCAATGTGTCTTAGTTTCATTGGTTGAATCCGATAGAATAGACCGATGAATAACTGTAAAAAGTCATTTGGTTATTGAAAATTATTTCCTTACTTTGCTACATGATGTTTGATATCAATAATTACACTAGGGTTGCAGTGCTGGAAATCTGTATTTATGAATCTATGACGTCATGATGTCAAAACTACGCAATGTGTGTCATATTTTTCTATGACGTCATGATAAATTAATGGGCGTTAATTTTATCAATTCAGTCGTATAGTATGGACTACTGAAATTTATTTTGCTCTTGAAAATTATTTTCTTACTTCGCTACAGGACGTTTAATCTCTACTTCTCTACACTAGGATTGTGGTCCTGGAAAGCTGTATTGTTGAATATATGACGTCATGATGTCGAAGGTTCGCAGTGAGCGTTAGCTTTATCATTAGTATTTGATAAAATGGACCACTAAAGGTTTATTGAAAGGCATTTGGTACCTGAAAATCATTTAGTTAATTTGCTACAAGTTGTATAATGGCATAAAATATGCCAGGGTTGCAGTCCTGCAAATCTGAATCTATGACGTCATGACGTCAAGATGACGCAATATGCGTTAGTTTTCTCAGCCGAATCTTATAGTATGGACCGCTTAAGAATTGTTAAAAGTAATTTAATTCTTGAAAATTATTTCATTACTTTGCTACATCGCCTTAAGCATAATAAAATAGACCGCGGTTACGGCCCTGCAAATCTTTATTAATTAATCTATGACGTCATGACGTCGAAGCTTCGCAATGTGCGTTAGAGTTTTTTATTGAATCAGATAGTATAAACCACTTACAGGTTGATACAAGTCATTCGGTTGCTTAAAGTTATTTCGTTACTTTGCATGAAGGAGTTAAATGCTAGTATTATAATATATATTAATACAATGCGAATGCAGTCCTGTATTGTTGGATCTATGACGTCATGACGTCGAAACTTCGCAATGTGCGTTAGTTTTATTTGTTGAATCGGAAAGTGTAGATAACTTAAGACTTGTTAAAGGTTATTTGATTACTAAAAATTATTTCGTTACTTTGCTACAAGGCGTTAAATACTAGTATTATTAAATACAATTCGAATGCGGTCCTGCAAATCTGTATTGTTGGATCTATGACGTCATGACGTCGAAACTTCGCAATGTGCGTTAGTTTAACAGTTTTAGTTGGTGGTATGGACCTTTAAAAGATTGTTCAAAATGATTTGAAAAGTTAAAATTATTTCGTTAATTAGCTAGGAGTAGTTAAATACATGTATCATCATATAAACAGGGATTCAGGCCCTACAAATCTGTATGGTTGAATCTATGACGTCATGACGTCCAAACAACGCAATGTGCGTTAGTTTTATCAGTTTTATTTAGTGGTATGGACCTCTAAAAGATTGTTATAAGTGATTTGAAAACTAAAAATTATTTCGTTAATTCGGTACGAGTAGTTGAATATCATTATATAAACAGGGATTAAGGCCCTACAAATCTGTATGGTTGAATCTATGACGTCATGACGTCAAAACGACGCAATGTGCGTTAGTTTTATCAGTTTTATTTAGTGGTATGGACCTCTTAAAAGATTGTTAAAAGTGATTTGAAAACTAAAAATTATTTCGTTAATTCGGTACGAGTAGTTGAATACCATTATATAAACAGGGATTAAGGCCCTACAAATCTGTATGGTTGAATCCATGACGTCATAGCGTCAAAACGGCGCAATGTGCGTTAGTTTTATCAGTTTTATTTGGTGGTATGGACCTCTAAAAGATTGTTTAAAATGATTTGAAAACCTAAAATTATTTCGTTAATTAGCTACGAGTAGTTGAATACATGTATCATCATATAAACAGGGATTCTGGCCCTACGAATCTGTATGGTTGAATCCATGACGTCATAGCGTCAAAACTACAAAATGTGTGTTAGTTTTATTAGTTGAATCTTATAGTTTGAACATTTCAAAGATTTTTAAAAGATTTTCCGTTATTAAAAATTATTTCGATACTTTGCAAGAAGGCGTCGGATTGAAACATGTTGGGTGCGCTTCTCGACGGCATTCTTGAATCTTTGACGTGAAGATAAATCCATGTGCGTTGATTTAATTAATTTAATTCGATAGTATTAACCACATAAAGATTATTAAAACTCATTTGGTTGTTGAAAATTAGACGATTATTTAATCAAATGAATACAGAGTCTGAAAGGTTGTGGTTTGGTTTGACATACGTACGTGGAATGTCTATTTACATACTGTATGCGTGCTCATTTGCATATGTGGGACAGTAGAATGCTTCCGCGCCTGAGACGTATCCGAAATAGTGCCTACCATTCGAATCGAAGGCTCAATCGAAGGTTGCGAATCGAAGGCCGAAAGGAGGGCTAACTTTAATGTGGTATACGGTTAGCATATGCAACAGTTTAAACGCGGTACTGCGGTACCTTCGCCGAGCTGGACAGACACAGCTTGTGATAAGGAGACGCCGGTATAGACGACTATTAAGCTTACCCGATATCGAGTCTCTAGTCTGTCAGTTATTCTTGGCAACACTGGGAGCATCTCTACCCAACGTTACGTACAGAGTTTGAAAATCGAGACTAAAAGGGCGTTTCCTGACGGACAACCTTCTGACTCCAGCTTGGAAATGACCCTTCTTCGCCATTAAACGTACGTACTCGTATACGTTCAAGAATTTACTCACAAATGTATCTTGTCCCCACAACGACCAGGAGGGTCAAGGGACTAGCTAGGTAGCACGTAGTATATGGGTGGGGGGCAGATCTGCAGGCTCCACTTCCGGGATACCAAAAATAGGACAGCCGTGTCCAATTTCTTTTTACCTTCAAGCAGATATTGGGTGCCATTGTGTCTAAAAAAGCTGTTTTGGGTGCGCTTAGAAATATTCCTCTTGTCCACTCCTGGTAGCCCAACACATGATTTGAAGCATTCCTTCCTCGGAGATTTTTTGGTCCGTTTATATACTAGTAGTACTAGTATTGATTGTTGTGGTTGTAGTAGCCGCGGCGACTGTTGCAGGGCTTCTCTTGCTTGCAGTCTTTTACATTAGCCCTAACAACATGTTGTTAGGGCTTATGTAAAAGACTGCAAGCAAGAGAAGCCCTGCAACAGTCGCCGCGGCTATGGTTGTAGGTACTGATGAATTATTCATGATATAGACTGTCGACAATCGTCCCTGACCTGTCACGTTCTCGTTTTGAGATGACTCGTACAGTAGCCAAAACTAGCTTACTCCGGGCAAATTCAGAAATAACTT